TTACTGCATTTGTTATTGTCACAGAATCCCTTGTACTTTGCCATTGAAGCCCTAGGTCAGAGCTCTCTCTCTCTCTCTCTCCCCCCCTTCCTAAAATCTAGTATATATGTTGGTCCATTTTGTGAGCCTTATTCTGGTTCTGTTTTAATGTATAGAAGCAGTTGAAGTCTATGCAACTTCTTGTGTTCTTCTGCTGATATATTCTCTTTTTCTCTCATTATTGTGTTATGGTCCATTTTGTGAACTATTCTTTGCTTGTTGAATTTTTACTTCTTTTAAGTTCATTGTTTGTGGGGTGAAACCCATATGACCTATTTATTATAATTTTATTAACCCTTCATTTTTTGTTGCTTGGAAAACTCTATTCACTTTGATTTTTATCCAATTTGTCTCTCATTCTTTGGATTATCTCAGATTATCTCAGAATTTTGAACTAGGGCTAGTGAAACTACAACTTAAGGGTTTTTTTTTTCCAAACTTGTTAACGATTTTAAACTATTTTTCTCTCTAGTGTCTAAGATGTTTGAATTTGATTGGATTTAACTTGTTCCAAACTATTCTAAATGATTTTTTGATTGTACTTAAGATAAGCTGAAGAATAAGAGAATGTTCCAAGCTATTCCAAATTGGATTGTAAATGATTGTTTTCAAACAGTTCTTTGAATTTTGATTGCATTTAAGATGTTTGTAAAAATGTATTAGTTTTTGTTTTTTTTTTTATCAACAAAAATACACTTTAGTGAAGAGCATTTGGAGAGGAATTTGAATGTGCTGCCCTTTTTACTTACTAAGTAAATCTTTTTGGTAAATTAGTGTTAAACATGAGATCTTTCAAATTATTTTGGCTACCAAAAATGGTTAAAATCTAGCTCATTGAAATAGATCAAATATATCTTGGGTATTCAATGATCAAATATATCTTACTAGATTTTTTTTTGAATTTTAACTCATTCAAAACGTAGCACATTGGTTAAGGAAAGCATTGTGCTTCACATTAATTTTTTATTTGCTACATTCATTTCTACAGATCAATGTTTATGTGAAATGTAATAACCTTAAAATCTTTTTCATTCTGCTTTTGTAACCAATCATTGGATATATGCAAGTAATGCATGCACGGATTAGGTTCATTTTGAGTTTTCTTTTTAATTGAGTTTTCTTTTTAACTGTATTGGTTTTAAATTATTTTTGTTAAAAAAATCTGAAAATGGTGTTACTTGAGGTATTTGTTCAATAATTTCATTGTCAAGGCTTTGGATTAGTTGATTTGCTTGAATTTTATGATTTTCTTGTAAACATTGTTGTGTTGAATATATTTTTGTGAGTGAGTGCTTTGTGTCGCGTGTTCTTTTTTGCGAACATAGTTACATACTCATTAGGCAGATAGCCATATTAAGTGTTTTTTTTCCATTGGTTAATAAAGCTTACCTGGTGACACAAACTATGATCACCCATTAGGCATGCAACCCTAACAGAACATGCATATTTTGTTCACTTCATGAAATCAGGCATAAGTGGGAAATTCTTTTAGTAGTTTAGTTTGTTTAAAGACTTTAGAGGTGCAATAATATTTTCTATAATCTGGGTTTTGCAAGGTTTACAAGTGCAATTTTACATGGGGGAGACTTTGGATCTTTCATTTTCAATTATCAAATGCAGACATTTCTCCTTCTACTCTTAGGTTTTAATTTTTTATTGAAGATTTTGATTTATTTTTTCAGGTGTGATTTTGGAAATGCTACACACAACCGAAATTTACACATTAATGAATCGTCATTGGGATTTATTGAGATGGTTAATTTAACAAAATTTACACATTAATGGACTGTTAATGACCAAATGTCTAGCTTTGTATTGAACTGCATAGACATGTTAGTTATTTCCTAACTTAGTTATGCCTAAAAATTTGCATACCACTTGCAAGTTTTTGAGGTGCTCTTGATAATTTGATGTATTACTTGTTTAGTATTTAATTTTAATTTTATGGTTTTGGAATGGATTGTTTAGTGTGTAGTGTTTAATTTTATTTTTTTTTATAAAATTGCAGAGCACTGGCTGGTGTGCATTAGTTGGTGTTTAATTTTAAATTTAATTTGTTGGGATTGCATAACACTTTGTGTCATTTAAATTGTTGTTTAGCTATCATGGCGTTTAGGAGTTCTGCTTCACTTGATAAATTTATTATCCAAATAACATCTGTGCTCTGGTGCAAGTAGCCATTATTTTGAGTTCGTCTCACTGAAACACAGTTCCCCTAAAGAAATTTAAATTTAATTGCTATCAACTCCAATCAACAATGTGGGGTTTCTTCTAGTTAGGTTATGGAATTTGGCAAATAATGATCATTAGTTGTGACAATTCAACTGGCCGGTTGCCCCTGACTATTTTTAAGGATTGAATCAATTTGCACCAACTGTCGGAGAACCTTTGTACTCAATATATATATTTTTCTAATTCACTGTTTGTGCTCCATATTTATGGTGTTTTATGTTTGAAATTATGAAATGAACTTGCTCTGAAGGTGATTTGGTTTTTCTTCCCTTGAGTTATTTGTCACTACATCTGATCCGTTCACATTGTCAAGTGTACATTTTGGATACTTCTATGAATTTGTTTCTCCCAACTTTAGAGAACTCACGGTGTGTCTCACATTTTTACTTGGAGTTACTGGTGAGGGGTTTTCTCATGAATTGCTTGCTGTCTAGGGTATTCCATTGGTCTCTTTTTATCAGATTTGTTCTTGATTTGGCTTCACTCCTTATTCCTATTAGTGACTGAGCTGCATCTTTTCGCTTTATGATTTGACATGCTAAATGTTGGTCTGTCAATCTTCCATTTGAAGTTCTCTTCTTTATATTAGGTGACTATTAAAGTTCAATCAACCACGTTAGTGTCCCAGTTTTTCTTTCTTTCACATTCAGTGAATTCTTTGCTCTTGTACTTCATTAAACTTCCTATCATTGTCTTATTAATTATTAATGTTTATTCTTTCTTTCCTTATTCAAAAAAATTTATAGTCTGGTTAGTCAATACTTTCTCTTTGGCTTTGAAGCTACAAACAACTAGCTTTCAATCAAAAGCTACTTGAGGCATAGGCGAGACAGAATAGGACTTCTTTTTAGCCTCAAAGTATGTCTTACTCAATTAGGATGCACAATTATTCCGTACAGGACTTAGGTACTGTGAGAGTGGAAGAGGTTTGGGCACCACTAGCTAAAATGAATGTGAATAAAATGAAATTCTTAGAATACTTTTATGCTTTGCTTGGATTGAGGGGAGGGAAAGTCAAAGAAAGAATTAATTATGAGAAAAATGAAAGAATTACTTACATTGACATTGTCGTTTTTCTCTCTATGATTTTTTTGTCCATTGCTCTCTTGCTCTCTATCATCTTTGACTCTTGTTTCGCATAACATATATGTAATTTGTTTTTTTTGGTATAAAAAAAAAAGAGGTGGCACAAGCTTAGCCCAACCCCAGCCCCGGGCAAGGCTCCCCCAGCTATTGATCTAGCAAGCCAGACCAGGGGAATGCAAGGGCTCCACTCTGAGAGGCAATGTGGACTTGAACATGGGTTGAAAGCATTTTCGTGTCGAGCCCTATCCACTGAACCCACCCCCTAGGGGCGTAACATATATGTAATTAATTACTAGGTTTTGACTACTTTGAAATTTATTATTGGTTAATTGAGAATTTTACATATGTTGTAACACAATAAAATTATGTATTGATATTAATAGAATTTAACTTGTTAAAGTGATTTGAAGGCTAATCTTTTTTATGTCTAGCTTGGATTTCTTATTATGTGGTATGTAACTGAATTTCTGTCAAGCTTTCCTTCGAATTGTAAAAATTTTCTTCAATATTGTAATGTGGAATAATTTGGTATTTAACAAGAAGAATCCGGATTGGGAAATCGTTCTGGATAAAGTTATGTCTAAAGTAACATCTTGGGCAAAAACTAAGGAGTTCAAAGAATTCTCAGTGGCTGATTTTTTATTTGATTTTGCTAGTATTAGAGCTCGTATGTGATTTGATTTTATGCCTCGTAGATGTTGCTGCTTTAACCTGGTTGATGGTACTTTACTTGATTGGTTTATTAATCTGGTGGCTACTCTGTTTTGAGTTGCTGGTGTATCTTGGCTTGATTGCTTTGTTGCTGTTGGCTGAAACAAAGTGTCTCATTTCTGAAATTGAACTTTAAAAACTCAAAATCATGTTTAAGAGTTGGAATATTATTTGTTACATGTTGTAACCACTTCACTCTTGATGAAACACTGTGTTTAAGTGGACTCTTAGAGATTGTGATTAGGTGCTATAATCATTTTTAACATGCTAGAATTTTTATTTAGATTATAATATGTCACGCCCCGAATTTTAATTACTCGGAAACATTACCAAGAGCTTGAAATTTAGGTCCCTTTTTTTTTTTTAAAACAATTATATATTACCCTTAAGTAATAGAAACATAATAGTACATGTCTCTCTCATGATGAATACAACAATAACAATCACTGCTGGAAATTAGGCTTTTAGTGGCGTTTAAAAAACGCCACTAAATCTATCAAAAACGCCGCTAGTTGTTTTTGTGACGTTTTGTACGAAACGTCGAAGATGCGGCCGTCGCTGTAACTTTGTGACGCTTTAAAAGCGTCGCTATATTAGTATAGGCGGCGTTTTTAAAACGCCGCTAATTGTGCTACGTAATGATAATGCTACATTTAGCGACGTTTTAAAAACGTCGTGATAGATCTTTTTTATTTTAAAAATATAACTGCTGGCATTTAAAAACGCCGCTATAGCTTCATTTGTTTTTTTTTTTTTTTTAAAATTGTGCTAATTTTGTGAGATTTAACCCCCAAAAAAAAAAAACCTATAATAAAGATGAAAAATATTCAATATATTGACTAAATTTAGATAACACAATACCGGATCAATTCATGCTTTTCAATATGCAAAAATATTTCAATTTCAAGATGAAATAAAATTAAACTAGTGCCTAAAGTTAAACTAGTGCCTAGTTGTAAGTTGAAAGTTATTACAAAACAAATCGGCACAAAAGATGCAATTCAAACTAATTACACATACAAATACTATGAAAGCATCTACCAAGAAACAAAAATTCCCGGGTTTTTCTGTTGATGCAATCAAAGAAATGTCTAAAATATCATTGGAAAAATAAAATGAAATCTGATGTGCACTCTTCAATTCAGTCATGAGCTGCCAAAACCACTGCTGCAACTCTTTTCAATGATTCAGAGGCCTTGCGCAGATTAGATTCAGAAAATAGAATGCTGTAGGGAATAAAAGTTACATCAGAATTATATGTGAAAGGTGAAATCAACACAATCTACTACTTACCAGATAACCAAGATGCTCAAGTGTAAAATCTTTCTAAATCCAGCCAATAATCTTCTGGGTCATAACAAATACCTGCCTCAACCTTAGGTCTCTTAATAAGTTCAGAAATTTCATGAGCAATTGAAGATTGACGAACAGATAAGCCCACCGCAGGTGCAAGATGTGATGTCCCAAAGATAAAAATTTAAAACTAAGAATTAAAAGTCATGATGTGCTGTTGTGTTATCTAAAGAGAAGCTAGTTACAGGAATAAAAATTCAAGTTGAGGTAAGAGTAATTAGACAAAGCCAAGTAGTTCAGTTTGCTTCCATGAATTTTATTTTCCTAGAGTTTCAATAAGCAATGCAACATCATACATAAGATTCAGAATTCAGATTTCTTTTTGAAAATCTAAGTGATTCGTGATTAGATCAAGATTAAAATATTCCAAATCCCAAAAATCCAAAACACACAATCTAAATCAACAAGCACTTATGAAAGTGATTTAGATTGTTTATTTTGTCAGATTAAATAATAAATCGACACAAAAGATTTTTACGTGGAAAAAACCACAATTGGACACCTCCAACTGTGATTAAAAAACCACGGGCGAAACGCCAAAAATCAATCCACTACTGAAGTAAAAAGATTACAAAGATATCTTACAAATTACCCAACTTAATCAATCTGTCTCCGAATCTTCTGTAACTCTTTTTCACGACTTCATCTCGGAACTGATCAATCTTGAAGTTGATTCCACAACCTCACCCACATATAGAATCAAACACCTTTCGAAACTATATGCTAGAATCTTCGGAATCCACCGAAGAGAACTCTCTCTTGAATTTAAAGAAACCAACTCCTTGATGTATGTAGTTTAGATCCGGAGTGAAGAACTCTTCTCAAGACATCAAGAAAAAACTCTCAAAAATCTCCCTAGAAGACTTTAAACTCAACCCTAGTTTGTTTTGATCAGATCTAGGAAAACGTATCAAACAAAACAACGTTAGCAGCTTTAAATAAGAATCTGAAACCGCGATCTCCGCTCGAGCAGAACATACCCCGCTCGAGCGGACTGAACAAAAACTGCATACGAAGAAACAGAGATGCGCTCGAGCGTAGGAGTTTCCGCTCGAGCGTCAAATCACACCCACCAGAATCTGTGCTTGCCCTGTCAAACTACTGTGACCTGCTAATCTACGCTCGAGCTCAAGAGGCTCCGCTCGAGCGGACAGTACAAAAACAGAAAAACATAGTTTTGAATCAACAAGATTTTGTCTCCGGATTTGACAACACAGGGACCTAACAATCTCCCCCTTTGTCAATTCCCGGACAAAACTTTTCTAAACAAAAGTCCTTAAACACAAGCACTAGACAAAATTCAAAAACCAATACTAAAACACTCAAAACAACTCAAAACAACTCTATGAATAAACAAGCTTTCCAATCTTGCCATATATCAAGCCATCAATCCAATTCATCATCCACCATTCACCTGTGAAAAAAAAAAACGAGCAACATACCAGAAAAACCAAAACTTGTGGAACTATATAAGAATATAACAAAATGTATCCATTCAATAGAACCAACGGAACAAAATATCAAAATATCCATGTGTCATAACCAAAAG